ATTATTGAATTTGTCTATTTCTTCCTTCAGGTATATCAATTGTTTTTTTTTTTTTGTGTATCTTGTGTTTCTGTGTATGGGTGAAAATATGTTTATGAGCACAAAATTGTTTCCTGATAGCTTGAGTATTTTATCATTACAAAATATCTCTCTTCTTCCATAGTAGCAAGTATTCATCTTAAGGTGAACTTAATATGTCTACACAGACTGATGTCAGTATATAGCCAATCTAGGTCCTTTTTTTGCTTATTTTCTGTGAGGTATATAATTTTCCATCCTTTCAAATCATTTTTTTTTAAATTTAAAATGTATGTTTCATATATACAGCGTTTCTTGAATTTTCCTCTCTCTTTTTTTTAAAAAGATTTATTTATTTATTTTATACAAGCACTGGGTACAGTCAGAAGCGCGGGAGGGTGAGAGAATTCACCAGAGCCAGAGCGGGGAGCAGAACAGGCAGAAGGACCAAAGTACACTGCTGAGGGGAGCAGCGGGTGGCAGGAGAGGTCTGCGTGCCATGTGGGACCCTCCTCTGGTGGCTGGGGAGCAGCCGGGGATCGAACCAGCGCTGCAGAGGCTGCGGGCAGCTTCGCAACCCAGCGCTGCAGAGGCTGCGGGCAGCTTCGCAACCCAGCGCTCAACAGCTGCGCCACCTGGGAGGCCCGAATTTTCTTCTCTTTTATATTAAAGTAATATTGCCTTATAACTTCGTTTCAGGTGTTCATTCTTGAAAATCGACAGATGCATATGCTATATTAAGCTTATCACAAAAATACCAAATCTATCCTTCACTATACCATTGTCCCCTTTCTTACTGATTTACTAAATCTCCTTGCCCCTTACCTTCTGGTTACCATTTATTGGCATTATAGTCCAAAAGTTTATTTTTGTCTTATTTAGTTCATCTGCTTGTGTGTTTTCTCCATAGGTCACATGGGTGTACAATCATATGGTATATGTCATTTCCTATTTGACTTATTTCATTGAACATAATTCTCTCTAGGTCCACCCATATTGTTGCAAAAAAACAAGATTTCACTTTTCTTTGTATATGTGAATAGCATTCCATTGTGTATATATACTACATCTTCTTTATCCATACATTGATCAATGGACTTTTAGGCTGTTTACAGTTTTTCGCTATTGTAAATAGTGTTTCCGTGAACATGGGAGTGCATCTATCTCTTCAAATAACATTTCCAGATAAATACCAGAATAAAGAAAACTAGATTATATGTAATTTCTATTTTTAATTTTTTTATAGAAATGTCATACTGTTTTCTATAATGGCTGCATGAATTTACATTCCCACCAATAGTTTATAAAGATTCCCTTCTCTCCATATCCTCTCTAGCACAAGTTTCTTTCTTTTAGATAATAGCCATTCTCACAGGTATGCAGTAATAGCTCATTGTTTTGATTTTTTCCCTCTAGTAAGAGATAATAAGCATTTTTTTTATGTAGCTATTGGTCATTTGAATGTTTTCCTTGGAGAAATGTCTATATGGTGGATCTTGTTTTTTAAATCAGTTTTCCACTCTATGCCTTTTGATTGAATTGTTTAATCTAGCCTATTTGATTTTATTGATATGGCTATATTTTGTCTACCATTTTGTTTTCTATATGTCTCATGACATATAGAAATATTTTGTCACATATTTGTCTTTTACATTCTATCTCTCTGTATTGAATTGTTATTTTCTTGTGTACTTTTTCATTCCTTTATTGATTTTAACTATGTTTTGAGGTATATTCCTAGTGGTTGTTCTTAAGTTTCCAATAGTTAACTTCAGATTTAAGATTTATGCTAACATTATTCTAAAACATTTGCATTTTGATTTGATTTTAATATTTTATTATCTTTGTTAAGTAAGTTACTTTTCCTTATGCCTTTGAGATTTATCTTAAGACTTTAGGACTCATATTCACATATCCAAACTCAAAACTTTTCAAGTTTTAGAGTAGTTCAAAAGTCACATATTCTTTTAGTGGTATTTGTCAACTTGTAGTGAACAGTTTGCATTACAAAAGGCAGATCCTTATATTTCTTCATAACAAAATAATTTGGACAAAATTCTTAGTGCATTATCTAAAGAAGATGTGATTATTATTACTCTAGAAATTATCAGAATACTTGAGGAATTGTTAGCTGTGTGCTTTTGGGCACGTCATTTAATTTTGATGTGCCTGATTTTTCTTAAGTATAAAATAGGAATAATAACAGTAACTACAATGTGGAGTTATTGTGCTGATTAGGTAAAAAACATTGCCTAGCAAATAATAATGTTCAAGGAAAGTTTTATATGGTTGTGAACATCATCATTATTATAATTGCATATTATTGTGTACCAAATATTCGAGGTTTCTGTGCTCTTTACAAAACATTAGTAGTAGTTTATTTTTTCTAAACTCTGCCTATACCAATGAGAACTTGGTATTATCTAAGCCTGTTTATTCTGCTACAAGGAAATTCCAGTTGTTCGAAAAATAGCTAAGAGGCCATGGTGCTCCAGTGTGAAGTATTCAGCTAAAAAAGTCTTCCAGAGACTGTTTGAAAAATGTTTACTGCCTGCTCAGAGATATAATGTACAGTGTATGAATAGGTTTGCAACTTGACCTTGTTTCCCTTCCTCCTATTGAAGCAAAAGAAAATTAAAAAAAAGAAAGGGTGATGAATTCAGGATCTCCCTTTTGTTTCTGAAAGGCTTCAAGACATCTGCTAATGACTGCAAAGTTAGTAAAGTCTGCCTAATTCAATGCCCAGGTTTATATAGATACTGCATTCACTTAGAGAGTATGAGAGTTATAGACCCTAAGTCATAGGCATAGTTAAAAATATTAGTTACATTTGGACTAAGGAAAATAGTATAGTGTGAGTCCCTGGCACATGGGAGGAGTTCACTGTCTTTTGTTGTTGTTGTTGTTTTTAAATTTAATTTTATATATATTTTACATTGTTCTTCCTTTTTGTACAATGCATGCTTTCTCCTCTCAGGTGTAGTTCCCACAAAATTCCCATCACCAATTCACCAGTGCACCATCAGCATAATCCCTTGTGTAAGAACACATTCCCTCCCCTGTTTTGATCCCTTCCCCTCCCCCGCCCCTGCAGAGCCTCACTGATCTTTTGATGTTGTTGGTAAAAAGAAAAAAAAATATTTGGAGTGTGAAGATTCCAAACATTGGGTTGTTCTTATTCAAGACTGTAAATTATCTATTGGGACTTAGTCATATTTTAGGATTTTTTCCTTTTTGAACACATAAAGGTGACATATATTTCCCCCCAGGTATATATTAATTTTTCCCTCTAGTGGCAAAGAAATGAAAGCTTTTAAAAAAGAACTATGTGTGGGAATATAAACTGAATATTTAGTGGCTATATATTTCTCTTGTGAACTGACAACTGCTCCAGACCCAGACTGGGTGAGTGACCACTTGGGGAGACACAACCAATGTCAGCAATAGACAGGAAATAGACATATGTGATATAAGTGGAGAGGAGAACAGAAAGAGCAGACTGGGAAGGGAGAGAAGGGAAGCAACAGAGAAAGTACTTTTGAAAATCACAAATAATAAGCCTAGTATCAGTTTCATACACATTTGTTTATGCAACCTTCACTATGAATGAGACAAGCCACTATAGAGCTGGAAAAAGAGGAAGAATAAGTAAATATGAAGCAAGTCTTTTATGGGACACAACTTAATTATGCAGCCTGAAGTTTTGAATCAGACAGAGAATTCCCCCAATCTTCAAGGGTATGACTCTACCCAGAGAAAGAAAACACCTTATCCCTGGCCCAACAGTTTTATCCCAGGGGAAGAAGGAGACAGGGGAAGAAGGCTGTTGTTGGTGGTGTTGGCAGTGGGTGGAAATAGAGGAGAGAGTTGGGGGAGAGTTACCCCTCTGATGGAGGGTAAGATCTAGAAATGAAGTCACAGATGGATCAATAAATTTCTGCATAAATTCAGATCAGAGAGAGAAAGAGGGAAGGAGGAAAACCGAGGCAAGGGCAGGGTGGGAAAAAATGCAGTGTGCCTGAAAGGGGAGTACCTATACTTATAAAACAAACAATGTTGTAAACCAACCTTACCTCAATTAAAAACAAACAAACAAACAAACAAACAAACAAACAAACAAACAAACAACAGTGTGAATCACCAAGGAAACCAACCTATAGAAAAAAAGCTTGCCCAAGTGGGTGGAAGTATACAGTTGAAAATAACTTCTCACTATAGACAGATTGATTCTGTACTATTTGTTTTGGTTTTTAACAAACTTCTGAAAATTTCATGGTATTTAGACATTTTGGCAGTTATTTAAGAACAGTGTAGACCCTCCTTTAACCACAGAGTTCTCCATAGTCCATGGACTTAGGGTATTATAGCTCTGGGACGCCAGCATATTTCCACCTGAGGGCATTTACCTGTCCATTGACTGTAGTATTGAGTTTTTTTTTTTGGTACTGGTAGTGTTACAGGGCAGGGAGAGGTGCACCCCAGACCTGGGACCACCCTGTTACAGTAGATTTGCTTATTTTTATTGGAATATATTTATGGTACCTTTTACTTTTGCCTTTCCTTGCTTCCTACTTATTATTATCACCAATATTGTTGAAGTTATTTTACACAAGTTGGAGCAAAAGGTGGATTGCTTATAATTGAAACACTACTCCCAGTTTGAAGTTTTGTCACTTCATCCTTATTAGAATTGTAGGGGGTGGGGAGGGATAGCACGCCTGCCGCAAACACAAGCACAAAGGCTTTCTCTATGGAATAATTAGTCAGGAAAGACATTTTTTTATTTTGCCAAGTGACACTTAAGCTGCTAATTCTTGACTGTGAAAACTACTTTTCCTGGGCAATGCTTTTTAAGGAAAAACTTCTTCAGTCCAGTGATTGGTGACTAAGGGAACGATGGAGCACAGAGGATTGGGCGGGATCTCAGCTGCTAGTATTGACTCCTTATCCAATGAAAAACATTTCCTATTGAGACCCCCAAGAGTTCCCCTGGCCCTCGGCTCCAGCCCGCACTTTGGGCCTTTTCTTGTGCCCTGTTTCTTAAAGGCATGCCGACTACAGCATTCAAAAAGGCCATTACTTAACAAAGGGAAAGAGATAAATGTAAATAAGCTCACAATTTGAGAATGAGCAGTTTGCAGTAAGAAGCTGCAGCAGCCCAGCGTCTGCTACTTTGTGCTGAGCTAACCTTTCCCTGTTAAAAAAAAAAAAAATAATGGATTAATATTGCGCTTCTAAAATGCGAGTTGCCAGTTTACATGTTTATTAGATAATTATCTACAGGCATGAGCACACTCTCTCATCCAGCACACTCTTTTTTGGGGTAAGTCTCTTTGAGAAAGATTTGATTTGGGCGTTTGGGGGTGGGGGATGGCGTAGCAGTGGAAACACTGAAGCTTTGAGTATCTGGGGGGAAAAGCAGGGATATTGTCTTGAATGGTTAAAAAGCAAGAATTTCTGTTGTTTTGGCAATAATATAGTTTTTGTGGAAGAGATGCAGGATTTTCAGGGCGTTGTTTCATGTAAATACAGTTGTTCTTATGAGTTGATTTAAAGTCACAAAGTAGAACAATTTAGAAACTCTTTTGGCTAGCTTTATTTTTCGTTTAGAAGTGATTTGAGCTAATGTGGCTTCTATTATGATGAGCGTTTTCCTAATAAAACTATACTAGACATGTCTTTGATGCTTACTAGATTTATGGGGAATGTGACATTTGCTATATTGAATAATTCATGAATATGACCATAAAGAAGCATTTCAATGCAAAACTAATTTTGGCATAAATTGAACTCGATATTATAAGTAAAATGAATCTCTGTTTTTCATAAAAATACAAAATGTAACATATTTAAAATTCTTTTGTATACCCGAATATTTTTAAGATTTTTTGGTAAGGAGATCTTGTTGGTAAATGCTGAATTTTAGTTATTATGTTTTAAAAAATATAGCAATATATTTATCATTATTTCAGCTTGGAAAACACCAGACGAGCCCAGAGATTAGAATATTATTGAACTTGGTGGGGTTATTCACTTTGTGTTACCTTATCAAATTATATCAACTTTTTTTACTAGACTAACAGGAAGACAACAATAGTAATCTAAACTCCACATTATCCAATGACATTGAAACATATTTTTTAAATCTAAACACTAAACAATATATGCATCAACATAGATTATAAATCCTTTTGTCTTGTCACAGATGAGAAGTTGCTGTCTGTTAAAAAGGATAGTTCAGCTGATATATTTGATGGCTTTTAACATCTCTTGCCAATCAGAGGTGCAAATGAAAGCCTTATTGGAACAGTCAGACCAACAGTTCAGATTGTGTCCTCTGAGTTAAAGAGAGGACTGGGAAGATGACTCATAGCAACATTCAGGCCAAGTTTAGTGAAAGCTTCATCTATTCAACCCCTTTTGAGAGAAAATATAGTGAGAACTGTTGTCCTCGCTGTGGTGTGTCAGGGCCCAGTTGTGCAGTTGCCTTTTTTCCCTCTGTGCATGTGGTCATCATGTATACTCTGCTCTTGGCTGTCCTGTTGGGGGTTTAACCTGTAATGTACTTGTGAATATTAATATTGAGCATAGTAGAATGTCACCCACCACTGGGAATCTAGCCTAACTTTTTTTGTAGATCAGTAATTAGCTATCCAAATAATGCATAGAACTGATTCTAAATGGTTATGTTTTGAAATATTTTGATAACCTTAGGAGAGATGTGACTATGGAGCAGGTAGAGAAGGTTGAGGATAGAGTAGACAATTAGAGTTGATGTGCCTGCTGATATAGGCATAAGGACAGAGGTTGAAAATGAGGACTTTAGGAACACTTTAGAATATATAAATGACATCTTGATTTGTGATTCTTCTGGCATTAAATAATATTTATTTCTGATGATAGTAAAATAAATATAGTGATAATTATATTGACTAATAAAATTAATTCCTCTTTTTTCAGGCTTTGATGTCTTAAAATTTCTTTTTTGCAGTGACAAATGGGAGCAGGTGAAAACAAAGGACAGGAGGGAACAGCTAGTGAGGCCACTGCCATAGCACCAGTTGAAGGCTGCTGTCAGTGAAAGCCAAGGTGGAAGGAGAAGAATAACTGAAGTCCAGAAAGGGGCTATGACTTACTCTCTCACAGTTAGATGGGGCTGTATGTGGCTATATTGATTAACACCAACTATGAAAACTTATAGGTATTTGAACTTCCCAGTTTTCTTGGATTCCAAATAAAAAGAAGTTTTCTTTATATTCTGTATCTGTAGTGAAAGCCAAAAAAGAAATAATGTTAATGTTTCTTCTTCCTTTGAGATATATCAGTAAAATAGTATTCATGTTATTCTAGGAATACTATTCAATGAAAGAGTATGAAAATCAATTTTCCTTAATATTAAGGTGATCTAATGTGTTTTAAATTGTTTAATACTTTAAAAAGTTTTTTGTTCTTTTGGATTAGAACAAGATATTTCAGGAGAGTTGAAGTATGATTTAGCAGTTTGTTTTGTTCAGGCCACCTTTGTTCAGAAGAGTGTTAGATATGGTAATAGTATAAGTTCGACATTAGCCAATTATTCAACTTTACAGGCAATACATAAGTAAGGTTCAAATTCAGGTACTTATAACAATTCCACTGCAGAGTATTTCTGGTTCTATGGAAGTATTTTGTTCAGAGTTCTGATTAGAACATATTACAAATGTACTATATTGGGTGCAGCCTAGGACAGCACTAGAGACTGCAGTGATTGTCACTGTGCTAATAACACCCGGTAATTGAAGCCTTGCTTTTATAACTGTAGTTCAGAGGAGAAGGAAATCATATAGGTGGGGGTACAGGTTAAAATCAAGGTTGTTCTAGTCTACTTTTCTCTTGTTCTATCAGGGCTTCTGCTTATTAGTAATAGTTTTTCTAGGGAAAGAGAAAAGAAAAAACAAAGCACCAATATAACTGCAAGTCCCCAAGAGAAATCTCCTATGTTCAGTTATTTTTAATGTAATGTATTACCATTTGGTAATGTAATGTATTACCATTTTTTATTTCTTTTGTCACTAGCTATGTTTAAGTTATTATAGTTTATACAGATTTGTGGGCTTTATGCTTGTCAATATAACTAACAAGATAGAATAATAAAATAAGGGATAGCAGTGACAATTTTGAAAAATCAAATTTATCTGCAATTCTGTAATAATAAAATCCAAAATATTTAGATATCATTTTAAAATATGCCACCTCCCATTTACTCTGATTTATATCATATATTAAATTATTTTATGATCTTAGTATAAATTTTATTGAAACATTCTTTTCATGCACATTATTGTGACTAGTTCTATTTCATAGCATCCATTTACTGTATGAAATATGTAAACATAGTACTTTCAGAAAATTGATTGATTACCCTAATCTCAGATAAAATTACTATCAGAATTTGGTTTGAACTAATATGTTTATCAATCTCCTGGTAAAAGCTTCTCAAAAATGTTTAATTTCATTATCCACCTTTCTAGTAACCAGTACTTCCAGTTTATTACAGAATAAAATCCAGAATAGATGTAGGATTTGTAATGTTTATTGTAACTCAGATAATTTTGGTGTCGATGTTCTTTGGTTTAAGACATGGTTTTTATTCATATTATTAGGTTAAATGTCCAAGTATATCAGATGATTTGGTATATAAATTGATAACTGATTTGTCTGTTCAAATATGTGGAATAAAACTAAATTCCTAGTTGGCATGCATGAGTCTAACAGAATTTGGAAATGAGCTTTTTTAGGAAGATCCAAAATTTTTTCCCAAAAGGCTAGGGCTTCTGTTGAGATGAGCTATTGAGTCTCGAGACTAGACATTTCATAATATTAGGTTGAGCAATTTCTCTGCAGTTGTCTTGCTCTATTACTGTTAGGAAAAATTCTACTTTAGTATGCTTGATGCAATCTTTGGCCCCGACATGTGGAGCACTAAAGTACATTATTTTACCAAATTGGAGAGTGTCATCAGGTGAAGGGTTAGTGGAAGATTGGAGCATATTTTGGTGAAAAAATATGTACTCCAGATTAGGGCTTGTGTCAGTTTCCTGATCTCCTCAAATAAAATGCAGGAAGGGTACAAAACTGCCTTAGTAATTTCAGTGCAAAACTCATTCAACATAGAGAAGCCATTTTATAAAGGCTATTTCTTGCCTCAAAAATACATGATCCTAATCCATCTAAACATTTGATATACAGGGAGTCTTGTGTGAGGACCTGATGCAGATCAATTCCTAGCTCAGCTCTGGAGTGAAATGTTTACCTAGGTTTCTTCCATATGTAATGTCATAAGCCTCAGCTGTGTTTTGAAAACTGTTATGAAATATTAACCAATGAATAGGAGCATCAATTAGAACCATGTGTTTAATTGTGATCGGTGCCTGTGACTTGGCCTAGAAGATTTCCTTAAGGAGTCTTATCTGTTAGCAATCGCTCATTTGAAGAGCAACAGTCTGGAACATATTCCCTATTACATACAGCAGAATGATTTTGAGCTGTATTTTTGGCAACATTTTTGTATTTTTTTAGTTTTCTTCACTGCTAGATATTTATAGGCAAGGACACAATAGATTTTGGCTTCCTCTGAAAACTATTGTGTCAATGTTCCTAAGCTTCTCTGAGAGCAGAAGGAGGAAATGGTCTGGGGATCGGAAACACTCTGACCTGACACAAGCTCATTAAAACGGAACCAAAGCAAGTCAATTAGAATATATTTTGCCTTCAAGACCTTGTCTTCCTGAAGCCTTGAATAAAGTAAGCCAGTCTTTCTAGGCTAATAGGCATATGCCAGAAGGTAGAGCTTTGTTTATAATGTATCATCTGAAAATTTAGCCTTTAGTGAAGTACTTTTGAATATTCATCATTATAAGGCCAAAAGACTAACCCCACTCCCTCTAGGAGCCCCAAAGACCTCAAACATGGTCTATTTCATTATCATTAGAATTTTTTTAAGATTTATTTATTTATGCATACAAGAGCTAGGGTACAAGCCAGAGATGCAGGGGTGGGGGATGGGATGAGAGGATTCACCAGAGACAGAGCGGGGAACAGAACAGGCGATTGACTGAAATACACTGCTGAGGGGAGCAGCGGTCAAGACAGGAGAGGTCTGTTTGCCATGTGGGTTTCTCTAGGCTGGCTGGGGATCGAACTCGTGCTGCAGAGGCTGCGGATTTCTTCATAGTGCAGTGCTTGACCCCTTGTGCCACCAGGGAGGCCTCAAAAAAAAAAAAAAAAGAACATTATTATGAACTGTCCGAACTGGCTCCATATATGTAGGTCAAAGTTAAAAATTCATTGAGTGTCAGATTTCTCTTTGGTCAACCTCCAGGTGACCTGCTCTCTGTCCATTGTCAATAAAAATGCACCTACTCAACACTCTGAATCCTCTAGATGATTACTTATTGGAATAATTAACTGCAAAGGTCTTCACAAGACAATAGTCTAATGCTACTTGCAGTGAAAGATGTACTTAACTGTGCCAGCCTGCTTTGTTCCTTCTTCATGTCATATGAAGCTCAAATGTTGGCCCTTTGCCTACATTCAGTGCATAATATGTTAGCCATGTAGAAAAATCTAGTGGTTAAAAACACTGTTTCTTTTAGTCAAAAAAAAAAAAAAAGGAAGTCAGTCTGAAAAGAAACTTTGTTTCTTGAATATCACTGATCTTCCTTCAAAATCAGCTTAAGAGCTAAAGGCCTCTCTACTTTTTTCTTAACATGAGCAGTGGGAGATATTCTTTCACCATCACTCTCCTGGATTTTCCTGGTATGAGAAAATTGTATAGCTCTCTGAGGTATAAGGTATACTTGATGTTAGGAGAAGGATATATTGCTAATAAGTTCGGGAAAGTAAGAAAGACAGAGACAGAGGTGTCTGGTTGTGTCATGGGAGGGAGAAGGAAGAAAACTTGTCTAATGATTCTTTGTGGTTAGGTCAGACTTGAAGTTACTAAGTCCTGTTGAATCTTCTTAACCTCAGCTGTGAGGCTCAGAGGTAATGTTTATACAGGGCAGAAAAACAGCACAGCCAAGTTACAGAGTGAACCATGTCTGAGTCAGAAATAGAACTCCATGCTTCCAATGCTGTGTTAAGTCCTAGTACCACACCCTCACTGCTAGACAGCAAAGGTGCTGTGTGTTTGAGAAAGGGAAAGCTATGAATAGGGCCATAGTGGCAATTTTCCCATGCTCTCTCTTCAGGATTGAAGACTGTAATGCTTTCTTATTTGTGACTCTTTCTCTCCCACAGGATTTGGTTACTCAAAGCAGCAAAACAGAAGTGCCAGGCATTTGCAGACTGCCTGCTGTGGGCATAGTGTATATGTTATGGGAGACATAAAACTGAATGGAAAGCTGGACAAAACCTAACCTATTTGAAAAACACAGTCTTGGAAAGTACAAAATAAAAGCAGGGAGCTAGATTCGTGTTGTGTCAGAGTGTCACTAGTGGGCAGACTGGAGGGATTCTGGGCAGAAGTGAAAAGGCTTCTATTATGAAAGCATTTTCCAAGTAAAATAAACTTTTTGGGCAGTGCTTTTTATAGAAGGCAGGTGCAAGCAGATCATAGTGAATGAGGTTGCCTTTAATGTTAGGGGTTTTGCTGTCTCATTTCTTTAGGTTGTGTGACTATATGGAAGGGATATTTCTTTGACTCTATTTCTTTCAACAATGAAAAATATGCCTCTGGCCTAATAGGTATAAGTGGGGGTATTAAAAGTAGTATATAAAGTGATTTAAATAGTTGAAAAGTTTGCCTTTTTCTTCTCTCCACCCTATTGGTGAAACAATCTGCAGAAACTTGGGTCTACAGCTCCCAAACGGAAGTATGAACCCCAGATAACTGAGAATTTTCAGGCTCTTTTTGTGCTGTTCAGCTTCAGTAAACACAGTGATTGCATAGTGTTTTGTCTTTTGTCTTTTGTTTTTGTTTTTTTAAAGATTTATTTATTCATACATACAAGAACCGGGGTACAGGCCAGAGGCCCGGGAAGGTGAGAGGATTCACCAGAGAGAGTGGAGAACAGAACAGGCAGACTGACTGAAATACACTGCTGAGGGGAGCAGCAGGCGAGACAGGATAGGTCTGCCGCGTCATGTGGGATTCTCGACGGCTGGCTGGGATCGAACCTGTGTGCTGTAGAGGCTGTGGACAGCTACACAGCGCTGCGCTCAAACGCCTGCGCCACCAGGGGAGGCCCATGTTGTTGGTTTTTTTTTTTTTTTTCTGAGATAACTAAAAGAATTAAGATGAAGCAAGATAGAGAGGAGGATGGGATTGGAAGAATTGAGAACTGGAAATACCTTCCCAAGGTCCTGAAAATAAATTAGTTGGCAGTACTGACCCAGCAATGTTCTCTCTTTTGTAAACTTTTCTTAATTTTCTAGTTTTTTTCCCCCTCTGATACTTTCCTGTCTCTTTTCTACTCTCCCTACTTTCTTTTATTACTTCTTTTTAAAAAAGATTTATTTATTTATGCATACAAGAGCTGGGGTACAGGCCAGAGGTGTGGGGGGCTGAGAGGATTCACCAGAGACAGAGTAGGGAACAGAACAGGCAGATTGACCAAAGCACACTGCTGAGAGGAGCAGCAGGAGAGTCAGGAGAGGTCTGCTGCGCCATGTGGGCTGCTCCCTGGCCGGCCGGGATCGAACTTGTGCAGCAGAGGCTGCGGACAGCTTCATAGGTTGTGTCTCAACCCTTTGTGCCACCAGGGAGGTCCTCTTTTATTACTTCTTAGCATGGCTTTTTCCCCTCTATCCTGGACCTTACCTGGTAATGGTTTCCTACTATGCTTTTGCATATCAAGATTGCTTCTGGCAAAAGTTGAGCTGGGCCCATGAGACTAAATGGCCAAGAAGGAACATTATCTTAGTGGAGTCACACATGTTTAGGGGAACCACTCTATAAAAATCTATTGACTGAGCATTCAGGAATAGTAAATTTCTAATTTGAAATTGAAAGTTTTAGCCATTAAAAATGATAGCTTTATGCTTTATACTCTGTAGTCTCCAAGGTCATTTAGGTAGGTACTTAAGTGAGTGATTTTTTTTTTCTCAAGCCAAACACTAGTTGGCATGACTTCGGGCCTCTATCTTTGGCAGGTTCCCTCTCTGCTCCCATCGCTGCTATATACAGAGACTCTTTGACCTGAGTTGGAGGGTGAGACTGACAGAAGGAGGAATCACTTCAGGGAAATACTTTTCAAATTTCAAAATGTAATTATGTGAAAACCCATTAATGGATATGTTAGAGGACAAAGACCACTTTTATTCAATATCCTCTTCATTGAAAAGAAATCATTCAGCAGCTACTTGTCCGTGGTGTTTTATAGAGCACATTTGAATACACTAATTTGTCCAATGGCAGCTGTTGTCCTATAAAGAGTTTAGTAAGATTTCCATATGCACCTTTAAAAAATGGTGGCCCAGATACAAAAAAGGATGATTATGTTAGTGATTGCCAAATATATGAGTGGTGGCAAGCAGAGGATATGTAACTGACTAGATCATGGTGTACAATGAGGTATGGAGGTAGTTGTTCATCAAAATTACCTTTCTCATTTCATTTGTATTCAGCCAGAAAAGGCTTTATTGACCATGGCCATTTTTGGAACTGGGTGCATGGAAGCAACTAACGAAATGGTCAATAGGAGAGGGAGCAGGAAGATATTCTAGGCTTAGATTGTAGCACAAGAGAAGCTTGGAACGGGAATCACAATCTTGGGGGGAGGCGGGGGTGGGGAGGAAGATGCTGATATTGTCATATAAATATTCCTATTGTGAAAATATGCAATAGTTAAAAAACCTTTAGCCAGAAACTTAATTAACTGAGAGTTCCCTGTTTTCTTAACTCTTGTTTAAGTAGAAAAAGGTGAATCAAAAATTTGCTTCAGGGGTTTACTCATAACTTTTTAAGAGCATGTCCTAGAGGTCCCATAACCACATTTAGTATTATGCAATAGGACTTATATACATAAACAGTGAAATTTAGTAATATTGGAGAGAAGCTGATAGAATTTAGAGTAGTTTAATAATCCTTTAATTAGGAATAGAAAAAACCCCTGGATTTTGATTCTGACTATAGCATTTAACATGTTCTTCCAATTCTGATATTGTAATAATAAGTGACATAAGCATCAGTTTCTGTGCCTATAAAATGGTGCTAAATTTCTGTCTTACCTACCTTATGGTGTTCTTGTGGGAATTAATTAAAATCATGCTTTTGAAAGTTGAAAAGCGCCATACAAATTTATTAACGATTTACCTATTAAAGCTCCCCTTACACTGGGCTCCAAAATAACCAACTCCTTATTCTTGTTCATTGCAATGCTACAGTATTGCACTTGTTGTATTGAGCATAATGTCTCTCCTTAACATATTCTTGTAATACCTCTTAACAGATGGTGGGTGTTCAAAAAGTATTTGTCAAACCAAACTGCATGTGCAATGTTATCTTCCATTCTGTGTGCGCAGATTGTCTTAGACTTCAGAAACCGTGGATAGAAGGCAGATTTGATGATTCACACCATCTTGTCTCTCATAGGAGGAAAACATTTCCTACCAGGACCTAGTCTCAGAGTGGTGAACCTTGCTGTCAGCAGGTCTTCTGAAAAAAAAAAAACAAAAACAAAAACAAAAATAAAAACAAAACAAACCCATGGGTGACAGAAGATTCATTGATTTCCAATTTCAAGATTTAAATTCAAGCCTCAGACCCAGGTTGGGCAATGTTACTGCCAATAATACTTGCATTGTTGATGATTCCTTCAAGTATAATCTGAATGGTGCTGTCTACAGTGTTGTATTCATCCTGGGTCTGATAACCAACAGTGCCTCTCTGTTTGTCTTCTGTTTCCGGGTGAAAATGAGAAGTGAGACTGCTATTTTTATCACCAATCTGGCTCTCTCTGATTTGCTCTTTGTCTGCACTCTACCTTTCAAAATATTTTACAATTTCAACCGACATTGGCCTTTTGGTGACACCCTCTGCAAGATCTCTGGTACTGCCTTCCTTACCAACATCTATGGGAGCATGCTCTTCCTCACGTGTATTAGTGTGGATCGTTTCCTGGCCATTGTCTATCCCTTCCGATCTCGTACCATTAGGACCAGGAGGAATTCTGCCATTGTGTGTGCTGGAGTCTGGATTCTGGTCCTTAGTGGCGGTATTTCAGCCTCTTTGTTCTCCACCACTAATGTCAACAATGCAGCCACCACCTGTTTTGAAGGCTTCTCCAAACGAGTCTGGAAGACTTATCTGTCCAAGATCACCATATTTATTGAAATTGTTGGATTCATCATTCCTTTGATATTGAATGTCTCTTGCTCTTCTGTGGTGCTCAGAACTCTTCGTAAGCCTGCTACACTGTCTCAGATTGGAACCAACAAGAAAAAAGTACTGAAGATGATCACAGTGCATATGGCAGTCTTTGTGGTATGTTTTGTACCCTATAACTCTGTACTTTTTCTATATGCCCTCGTGCGTTCCCAAGCCATTACCAATTGCTTGTTGGAAAGATTTGCAAAGATCATGTACCCAATCACCTTGTGCCTTGCTACTCTGAACTGTTGCTTTGACCCTTTTATCTATTATTTCACTTTGGAGTCCTTTCAGAAGTCTTTTTACATCAATACCCATATCAGAATGGAATCCCTGTTTAAGACTGAAACACCTCTGACCACAAAACCTTCCCTTCCAGCTATTCAAGAGGAAGCTAGTGATCAAACAACACAGAATGGTGGTGAATTAACGCTAGAATCCACTTTCTAGGTACGAGAATTGTATTTAGGTTCAGATATGGTTTCTCCTATGATTTTTCCAATGCTATAAGACAAAAGTGTAGAAGCTGATGATATTGAGAATAGATTAATGTACTAAATACAGTCAGATACATTAATTTGAATGTTTACTGTACATATGCTGTTTTGTTCAATAATTATAGGTCAGGTCTAATTACAGCTACCAAAAGGGATTGCAAAACTCTTCTGGGTTAGAATTTCATTATATCACGTTATGTAGGTGATCAGTGGTCTTAACTTTAGTGATATGGAGACAACTTAAAACTTTGAAAAAGATATTTCCATTATGATAATATTTGGTAATTGGTTTGGGCCTATAAGTATAGAACAATTTCAGGGATTATTAAAAAATAACCTCTGTGTTACTACTGATATATGCTAGCCTTTTATTTTCTTTTTTAAATTTTCATTGAATTTATTTTAGCGTAAGAATATATTTTAACATAAACATTATTGATAAAAAAGTGTCAAATTTAAAAGAGCTGGAAATATATTTATTGTATATATTTTGAAAGCAGGAAATTAAAAGTATGTGAATGTGGGTGAGAACAAACAGAAAATTAACTGGATTTTCACATTTGTTGTCAGTAGCAGTGTTGGTTTTTAGAAACTTTATTCCTTTTCTAATACTACATTAAAATTTTCATGTGAAACTTCAATCAGGAAGCTGCTAGTACCAAAAGAGGTGTAAAGTGGAAAATCACAAAAAATAATGTCCATAAAAGATAAGCAACACCAACATTTTTTTCTTAGGATGTTGTATTACCTTTCCTTGGAGAAACTGCTTTCTCTGAAATATTTATTTACCATATGAAATTTTGAAGCACAATGCAGTTAAAACACTGTTGCATTTGTGCCCAGATCACAACCAAATTGAAAAAAATTAACAACAAAATAATAGTAAAAACTAAAACAGGAAAACAAACAAAAAGTAAGTTCATAATATGCATTAATCATTTTTGTTGTTGTTGTAGGAAAGTAGAGACATGTATCTATATTTACGAGACATGTAACTTTAAATTACTTATTCTTTCATATTAAATTTTGGAGCACAATACAAACAGCTGCTGAACTTGTGCCCAAGTCAGGAGCATATTGAAAAAAAAAATAGTTAAGTCAATACAAACAAAAAAGCCAAAAAAACCCAAAATAAAAACATACAAAATAATGAAAACAACAAAAAATAATACTTAACACTTGCATTAAAATTTTATTTATTTTTGAAGATCTTTAAATTTAAAAATACTGGGTCATTTGTATGATGTTTTATTTCAGACAAAATTTGTTCCTTGACCCTTTTTTTATTCTCCCATTGTACCATAATATTTATAGGTTTATTTCCCCCATTGGAGTTTGTTTGTTTTTTCTAAATTGTGTCCAGATGAGTTCCAAACTGGAAGAAGAAAAAGCTCAAAACAACCCCCTGCAAAATAACAACAACCCCCACCAAAATAGCATACAAAAATGTTGACCTTGTATTTTTGAGTATCTGTAAAACTTCAATAATACTATAATTTTCATTTATGTTTTATATCAAAATGTAGCTCGGAAGTACTACACTGGTGCATAGTTCACACAGAATTGAAATCAATATTTTAAAAGGTACAGAAGAAAACATTTTTATAATTCACTTAACAAAATCCTGAAAAAATTCTTACCATTTATTGGGTAAAGTGTAGATTTAAGTACATTAAAATTGATAACTAAAACTTCTGAAAACAATGTAGCTTGAAAGATGCTATATTGGCACTCATGTCAAAAGTAATGGGACCAACTCTCACATACACACTACACACACAAAATGAAAAATTAAAATACTAAAAATGCTACAAAACAACAAAAATATTCTTAAAATTTTCATTAAACAATTTTAAAATTATTTGGATGATATGGTGACTTAAAAATGCTAAAACTCTTAAAGTAGATTTTCCAGGTACAGTGCAACTTGCAAGTTGCTGAGCTTATTCCAGGGAGAGATTAAAAAAAAAAACAAAAACATAAAACATAACAAAAAAGTAAAACTTTTAAAGAAATAAGCACTTCTTAAAATTCTCATTAACTTTTGTTTTTCTTTCTGATAAATTTGTAGATTTAAAAGTAATAAGATTCTTAAGTAAAAATCCATGATCATAGTGAAACTTTAAAAACTGTTAAATCTGTACCTGCGTTAAGAACTGACTTTTTCAAAATGTTGAAACAATAGAACAATAATAAAAATGAATTTTCAAAAATGACATTACTTTTTCCTTTGTGATATAAAGTTTTAAAAGTAGTCATACATTATATTTTTTTGTGGAAACAGGTTTTAAATATAGTATGTAAAGAATATTTAGTTTTAGAAAGATGAAATTAGGTTTAGGTTAAGTTCATTGTTAGATTGTGTTTAAGATCAAATTAGTAATCAAAGTATGAATAATGTTTTTGTTTCTTTTGATATTCTTTTTTTTTCTTTTCATGTAAGTGTAAACTATATGTGAACTTTCATTTGTGCCCTTGGATCTTAGAATTATGAAATTTTTGGATTTTGACACCAAACCATTTAATGGGATATGTTAACCAAGTTGACAAAAAAAATCAATAAACAGTTTCCTTTTGCATATTTATATATTTACTTTTAGTTTTCCATATTTAAATTTATTTAATTTCCATTTTTACAGTTAATATAATTTGCTAATAATAAAAGCTTTTGCCATACGAACAATGTAACCAACAAAATGTAATGTATAACTAAATGTAAAACTGACTTTGCATCTAAAAGTAAAAGCAATCATTCAGCTGTAATTACAGCTTGAATTTTAAATGCTTATTAAATGTAATAAAATATATTTGGATTATCTAACGGTTATACTTTGGTTAACTATTCAATTTTGTCTTTATTTGTGGGTACCTAAAGGCATCTTTCCTTTATCTTCTCTCCATCCTTCAAGAAAGCACAATATTAGAGTACATTTAATCACAAATCAATTCCAATACATTATTTTTGAGGCTGTCTGAAAACTAATGCACAATTGTACATGACAGATCTTGGGTGACTTTTAAAGCATCAAACTGGAAGATTAAGTAGCTCTTTTTTCAACTTGGCTTTGATTTATTTGGAATTTGTAGTCAAGCTAAAACCTGATTTCTTAGATTTGATTAAATATCCTAAGGTACCTGGGATCCCTTGGGAAAGTCAAGGAAGGCAGACCAAGAGACAGCAATCAGATGAGAATGGTGTAAGTGGCTGACTGACCAATAAGTAGAACAGTTTGTGGTTCCAGAATGATAGCACAAGGAATCTCTAGCCATTGTGTTCATGCCTTTAAGTCTCCAAAAGCAATGCGTGCTTCTCATAAACCACACTGCGTACTGGTTACCCATGAGATGACAACAAATTACCTTTTCTGACGTGAACAGCCTTAAGGTATGTTTAAAATTATAGGAATTTTGTCGCTAGTGACCTTTTTAAGGTCCTCAGGAAAAAAAAAAGGGTCAGATGTCGTTTATTTTTCATTCCTATCCGTCTTCTTGCACCTTGGCCTCCACCCCCAAACCTCTGTATCATATGTTTGGTGTGGTTTTCCAAGCTTTATGTTCTCAATCTGCCTTTCCTATGACCCTTACCAATATTTTTCTCTACCTTCTCTTAGAAATACTGTTTCTTTGTGGACCAAAAACAATACATAATCCTCTGTCAAGGTAGTGACAGGCTGTGTGAAACCTACTGCTTTTGATCTCCCTTTTGGCATCTACATCTTAGAAAATGAGTCTGATTAGAAAACTTCAGAAAAGCAAGAGGTAGCTAGAAGTAAATTAAATGGACGTTAGTTTTTAACCTTATTAAGTGATACCCAGATAGTAACCATTAAATTCTAAGGCCAAGATTTATTCCTTTTGTATTTTGCCTGTGTATTTTTAAGGGTATTTTTATATTCCACAGATGAGTGAGATCATCCAGTATTTACCTTTCACTTTCTGACATATTTCACTTAACATAATCACCTTGAGATCCACCCATATTTTTATTTGTTATTCTCACCACACCATGCACAGTGCCCAGAAGGTTGTCTGGTACATAGTTCATGTTCAAGAAATTTGTTGAATACGTAAATGAAGGATTCTGGATTCCTATGAATTCCCCAGCCAAACTGTTTACCAGGAACTTCAAAATTCCTTAAACAGGGCCTAGTCCAGAAGTCCCAGGATCTCAATTAAGGGAAGGTGACCAATGATATTTGGCCTTTATAAGACTAACTTGGTTAGGAAGGTAACAAGTTGAAAAGCAGACAGCATATCCTAGACTAATGATAGGAAGAATGTGGGCTCTTTGTAACATGCTTTTCATCTATAAGGTTGGAGGTTCTCCATGATAAATAGGAAGGAAAGCTAGTTGCCTGTACCAGACAAGTCACCTGAATTTTAAAGCCTCCTGCTTTACCTCACTGCCACATTTTAGATCTCTCACTGGCTCCACTCCTCTATCTGCCTGAACTCACTACCTCTCTGCATGTTTGGAAGAGAAGCATTTTATTCCCAGATCCTCATAGAAAAGAAGCAAAGCAATGAGAAGTACATAGTTTTTCAGAAATCTGAATACATGGAACATTTTTACACAGTAGTTAGTGCTTTAACCTCCTTGTTGAAACAAGCTGCTTTGAATTTTAAGAGCCATGTTACCAAGTCCACCAGGATTAGGAGCCATTTGGAGGAAAGAACACAAACATATAAAATGAGAATATAGGTTTCCAGTCACTATAGACTATTTGGGGGCAGGGAGAGAAAGACTGTCTGGAGAAAGGCTGTGTATGTTTTGAACTCAGTAGCACAAGTGGTAATATCAAGACACCAGGACAAGAGAGTTGCAGCAGAGTCCCTATCAGGAGGTGAGGGAAGCTGAGGCTGAAGAGGTGATTTACCACTTGAATTTAAAAATAGCCAAAAAAACATACACAGGCAAAATACAGCAGAAAAAAATCTTGGCCTTAGAATTTAATGGTTACTGTCTGGGTATCACTTTGTAAGGTTAAAAACTAAACCCCGAGTCCTTGCTTGGCAAGCAAGATTGGGAGGCTTGAATAGATAAGGTTGCCATGGCAATCGGGCCATAAGACCAAGACAAACCACCAAGACCAGAAAAACTAGCCCAGTTCCAGGGATGCAGAAGAAGGGCCAGGACACATTCTGTGTCAAAGGCGAGCACCGAGACCAGACATCTCAGCAGAAAACTGGTGCAAATTAGCATCTCAAGTTAGAAAACCTACGAAAACAGAGTACAAAGAGCCTCATATTCTTCTTCCTCTTTTTTAAAAAAATATTTATTTATTTATTTACACAAGCACTGGGGGACAGTCAGAAGCTCAGGAGGGTGAGAGAATTCACCAGAGCCAGAATGGAGAGCAGAACAGGCAGACTGACGAAGTACTGCTGAGGGGAGCAGCGGGTGGCAGGAGAGATCTGCGTGCCATGTGGGACTCTCGCCGGCAGCCGGGGATCGAACCAGCCCTGCAGAGGCTGCGGGCAGCTTCGCAATCCAGCGCTCAACTGCTGCGCCACTGGGGAGGCCCTCATAGTCTTTATAGGCAGACGTATAGCTGTAGTTTTGCCCTTTGCTCCCTTGCAGGATATTACAATAAATCTGTTCTCCACTCTGTCTCTGGTGAATTCTTTCACCCCCATGCCTCTAGCCTCACTTGGATATTAGACCACTGCAGTTACCAGAGGGGATAGAGAGGAGAGAGGTGTTTTGGTGGAGGGTGAGTGGAACTCATGCACAAATGGAAAACAAAAATGTAAGCCCAACATTTCAATAAAAAAAGCCATCCTAAAACTTATGTGCTGAAGTCAGAGCAGGCAAAGTAAAAAAAAAAAAAGAGCAAGTTACAAAGTAATATGACAGATGAGACTAAGTGCTATAGAGAAAAATAGAGCAAAAATCAAGGGGAGCATGTCCCTTAAAATATATCTCAGTCTCAGCAGCAGGACTATCTTAAAATTTCAAAGATCATAAACATTGAAAAAAGGATGAACCTTTCTAAATAAATAATTAAGTATCTTAAGTTTATGCTATAGTGCTATAGTTATCAATGCATGCAAGGAATGCAAGAAAATTTTTATTTTAAAACATCACAATTCTGATGTTTGTTGTGAAGGGGGTTATGAAGCCCTGAATTGCCCAAATTCTGTGCTTAGTCTGTCAACCTTTGGGTGTTTATGCTCTTGTCCAAGCCACAGAAACCTCAAAAGGCTAATGAAGACCCAGACCTAGGCAACTTCCAGTCAACAAAGCTGATCATTCATGGTTTCAGCCTCTTTTCTCCTGTCTTTGCAGCCCAAAGCAAGTTTCTCAAGAGTCTCTCTCTCTCTCTCTCTCCCCCCCCCCATTCCTTTCAGCAAAACATGCTCCCAGACAAGGAGCTGAATTCTAATTCTGTGTAATAAACAGATTTGAGATGGAAGCCTAAATCTGGTTTTCTTCTTTTATTGATATAACATTGGTTTGCATTGTGTGTGCATGTTTTAGACGTACAGGATACCCCCCTTCAGGTGTTACCACACCACAACGTCCTCCAAGGCACCCACAGCCCATCCCCACAGTTTTTTTTGTGCTCCTTCCCTCCCTTCTCTCATCCCTCCTCCTCCCAATCTGCTAGTCTCAGTTCTATAGCCAGGTTCCTAGAGTTTGTTGTTAGTTTGGATTTTTGTGGTTTCTCTGTATCCCACACATAAGTGATACCATCCAGGATTTGTCATACTCAGCCTCCTATTCACTCCATGAAACTGGACAAGTCCCTTTCTCTTTCTTTAGCTGAGTGCCCCTATTATGAAAATGAGAAGGTTATCTCTGAAGTCCCCTATAATTTTAAGACTGGAACTCCAAACTCATAATGATGAACTAGAACTAACAATTATAAATAATATTGATGTAGAAGAGAGCATATATTAAATGCCAGATACTGTACTAAGTACTTCACATGCATTCTTTCTTTTGTGTGTGTGTGTGTGTGGAGACCTAGGGTGTAGACCAGAGGTGTGGGGGAGGGGGTGAAGAGATTCAAGAAAGAGAGAGAGTGGGGAGCAGAATAAGCAGTTTTACTGAAAGACATTGTTAAGGGGAGCAGTGGGCAAGACAGAAGAGGTCTACTGCACCTCCTGGGTTAGCTCCTTGGATGGGGATTGAACTAAGGCCTTAGCCATGATGGCGCTGAGACTTAACCCCTAGGCCACCAAGGAAGCCCTGTGTTGTTTCCTTTTCTTTTCTTTTTTTAAAGATTTA